GTTTCAATGTCCTTTACAAAAACTTAGAAAATAATTTCTTTATTGCATAAAGCGAATCACAGAGTTTTAGGGGTTGGAATGGACCTTAAAGATCATCTAGTCCCAACCCCCTGGTGTCGTGGGCAGGGATGCTCCACTAGACCATGTTGCTCAAGACTTCATCCAACTTGGTTTTGAAGATGAATGCACAACCCTAAAAAACTACTGAAAGATAAGTCCATTCATAGGACCAATTGTATGAAGTAACAAGGGCAAGAGTTGAATTCTGGGATAGGGCAACTCTGGCTGAACATACAGACTGGGGAATGAGAGAATGGAAAGTAGTGCCATGGAAAGGGACCTGGAGGTCCTTATCCATGGCAAGTTGAATATGAGGCAATGGTGAGCCCTGGCAGCCAGGAGGGACATCGTGTCTTGGGGGGCACCAGGCAAAGCATGGCCAGAGGGAGGGGATTGTTCTGCTCTGCTCTGTGCTGGGGCAGCCTCACCTGGAGTATTGTGTGCAGTTTTGGCCACCACAATGTAAGAAAGATATTAATTTAATAGAGAGGGTCCAAAGGAGGCAATGAAGATGGTGAAGGGCCTTGAGGGGAAGCCACATGAGGAGTGGCTGAGGTGACTTGCTCTGTTCAGCTGGAGAAGAGGAGACTGAGGACAGAGCTCATCACTAGATACAACTTCCTCAGGGAAGGAGGTGCAGGGACAGCTCTGACCTCTTCTCTCTGGGCCCAGGGACAGGACCCAGGGAATGGGCTGGAGTTGTGGCAGTGAGGGTTAGGCTGGAGATTAGCAACTGGTTCTTCTTCCCCCAGAGGTGTTTGGGCACTGAACAGCTCCCAGGGCAGTGTCACAGCCCCAAGGCTGACAGAGCTCCAGAGGTGTTTGGCCAATGCTCTCAGCACAGGGTGTGACTGTCAGGGATGTCTGTGCAGGAGTTGGGCTAGACCCTCAAGTGTCCTTTCCAACGCTGATTAGTCTGAGATTCTGTGACTAAGAAGTCCTGTGGGCTGCTCTGCACAGAGGATTTCTGTTCAAACACTACAGAGAGAGATCTGAGGCTCACAGCTGGGAACTGTTTAGTTCAGCAAATCCAATAAACAACTATTCTTAGCATACAACACACACAAACAAGGACACAATCTCTTAACTCACAAAGTCAACATATGGAATTTTCAATATATTAGTAGGGCTGATGCTTTTAATCACAGAGGGGAGGAACTCCACAGGGTGAGGATTTTATTGTGAAACACTGTACTAGTATCTCTACCTCTGACAGCTTATTTGTGACAGAATGGCAGAGAGGTAGTTTGTCATATAAATGAGTGTACACTTGATTTCAGAGGCAATTGTATGCATACCTATGTTAGGTACCTTTGAAAATCATGGCTGGCATTGGTTTAGATTTTGCACATCTAAGGTGTTTGTCCATATTACTGCTAATAAATGCAAATATTTTCCATGCCAACATATAAAAATCATTCATAGAACCATCAGGGCTGGAGGAGACCTCTAAGATCATCAAGTCCAACTATTAACCTGTCACTGCTGGAACCCCCAAACCCTAACCCAGATCCTCCAGTGCCACATCAGACACCTCTGAAACACCTCCAGGGATGGTGACTGCACCACCTCCCTGGGCAATATCCCAGTGCTGAACACCACAACAGGGAAAACATTTTTCCTGACATCTAATCTGAATCTCTCCTGTCTCAGCTTATGACCATTCCCTCTAGTGATCATTTCTTCTAGTCCCTCTATCTATCACCAGACAATTTGAAAGATCTTGTGATTTTATGTTTGCAGGTTTTAGAGTCAAAAGTATGACTGACATTATGTATCAAGTAAGAGTATAGTTGCTAAGGGACAATCAAGAGAGATGTGGGGGCATTTGTGTGTATGGATGTGTGTTACAAAATCTTTACTAGAATCTTTTAAATTAAATTGCAAAATATTAATTCTTGGAGGTCAGAATAAATATGTTAGTTTTTGCCCAATGAGCTCTAAGTGTTCTGTTTTGGCTGACAAAGAAATATTGCCTGGGTCTTGATGTATTTTCTAATGTGAAGATGGAATTTCAAACCTGTTTATACTGTATCTTTTGAAAATATTGAGCTTACTACTCCTGTTTCAAATGACATTGCCCAATTTGT